ATTCTGACAATAATTGTTATATTATACACCTCTTGTTTGTCTGTACTGAAGACTGTCTCTAGCGCGCCAAGCGTGTTGTTCGCATTCTCCTCTTCGCACGTCTCCTGCCTGGACGTTGGCCTTTTGTACGCACTCTGGCCTCAATATTATTCCGATATCAGGAGGCTGGCATTGAATATACTTCTTCCTCTAGAATCGCCTTTTTATTTGATTCTTAGATTATCGGGATTGACATTTGTTATCCCGCGAAGTAGTATATTGTGCGACTTGCTATAAGCTCAAAATCGTTTGCGATGGCGCAAATGCATCCATTCTTTGTTCTCTCGAATTCTAATCTTCTGAATTCCCAATGACAGATTTTTTAATTGATTCCTCTGAAATATACATCTCGATCATCAACCTTTTTATTACTTCTGATACTTCTACAACCTGTACTACTTTATGGATTTAAATTGGCTATTGGGTCTCTGTGCTAATATGGGATGATAACTTGGACTGATATACGTATGTACGAAATTGTAGGTTGTAAATAACTGACTGACTTAATATTACATCATGAAGCTTTTTGAATGAAATAACTAAAACAGTCTCTGCAGTATTATGTACAGTGGGATAGTAATAATTATCAGTGTATAAACTAGCTGTAAACAAATGTACTGGTATTCGTGTGACGTTTCAAAAAGCTTATTGGTCATTGGTTTTCAGTAAACAGGAGTTTTTAATCAAGTAAATATATTACCGAGACTGACCTGATGAAATCAGGTGTTTACATATTATTTAGCTGTACCACTGTCTATACAATGCGATCAATATGAGGAACTACACTGCAAAAACTTATGCCTAAACTTTTAGACAGTCTGTTCATTACAGCCAGTGTTTTAATAATGAACTACGTTAAACAATAGTAATTTAATTCATGATATCGTGTTTTTTTTGTTACTTTTTATTATGTACACTATTGTTAATGAGCCGTTCGGAAGATTTAGGTTGGAAAATCGTTTGTTTTTTTAACACAATATTTTATTTACAACAAAAACTAACAAATATTATATACAGTCGAAATTCATGTTTGATTTTTTTAAGTTTTAAAATCAACTACTTTATGAAATCGCTATGCATGCTAACAAAAATGCTACGCATTCAGTCTCACAGAAGTATTTTATAAATAATCAAATGTCTACTTTAAACAAATAAAATACAAATTGGAAAATCTGGTTCTAAATTGTTTGCTTGTGATTCTTATGATATTCTGTTTGTGTAGAATAACTTGTGGTCTTGAACAAACAATTGCATGATTATTTTACACGAAGTATGCCCATGAAATATTCAACCAATGGATAGACTTCGTGTTTTGACAAAATTATAAAATGTATACTGCAGTCTAAAGCATTAATGATGGGTAATACCATAAATACAACAGATTTCATACATATATGCACATAACAAGTCAATAGGACGCTTAGACTTGTTTACACTTACTGGCGACTTGGTTTGATTTGCTTTTTTTAAGTATTTATCAGTCGAGTTGAAAAAGTTCCAAAACATAAATCTTCGACTTATTGGCTTACTGTAAATATATGACTTTTGTAACTGGATAAAATTTCCAGAAACATACAGGTACAGGGCGGGTAAACTCCACTACACAGTTCCTAGAAATTGCTAATGAAAAAGAAATCAAAGGTCCTTAAAATAACCGTTTGCCGCGTTACGCTTTTGTTAAGTGGATATAGCCGATTTAAAAATCAAGTTCAAGACTCATACTAATTCTAAGAGTCAAACCGAAACATAAATTAAGCATGAAAGAGCTTAAATGATTCAAAATCCATGTAAACAACTGCTTTATTACTAGCGTTTTTTCAATGAACAAGCCAACTCCAAAGATCAAATGCAAACTTATTCAAATTAATCGAACGGTTACTATCAATAGGCATTTATTACTTGAAATTCTGAGAAAAAGTTGGTCTGTGAAGCTTAGTTCTCAGAAGGCATAAACAAGCTAGGAACATAATCCATAAACATTTCGTTACAAAACTTTCAACTAGGATAAATTTAGATAGATTTATTATGATCTGCAACTATAAGGAGAAGTAATATTGAGTCATCCAGTACTAACACTTCAATTTTATCTACCATAATTCCAGAATCTAACTCATTTTATTGCTGTTGGTTTGGATGACCAACTTTATCAGGGAGACAGATACAACGCAGAACTTCGTACGTAAGCATATCAGTTCAGGTTGCCATACCACGTCAGCACAGAGATGCAACTGTCAGTTCAAATCCAAGGGTGATAGCGATAGTAGAAGTATTAGCAGTAATAGAGAAGATTAGAGAGCGGAGATATGATTCGAGAAATATATTTTAGTGAGATAAATTTAGGAGAAAGATACATGTTATGAAAGATTCAGAAGGTTAGAATTAGAGCGAACACAAAGAGTGGATGCACCTGCCAACTTTATCAGGGCAATCCCCATATTAGAAAATTATTTCTTTTTCGTAACAATTAATTCAGAGCTTCTCTGTGTGTTAGCTGGTATATCACATCATTCAAAAATAGATCAACTCTTTTCAAACGTCACTTCCATCCCGACTTATAGATTTGAAATAACGTTACGTAGCACGTATAGTTTTTTGAAAATGTTATCGTAAACCTATGACTGTCATGCAGTTAAGCTCTAACGAACAAAGATATCACAAACGCATTCCGAAATCGATTATAAGACATTCAAAACAAATAACGGACAATAAGCACCAACATCATTTTGTAGAGGCTATTACAAAACAACTCAAACTTGCCTAATGTGAACAGGAAGCCTCTTTTTTCAATAGTTAACAGGATCGTAACCAAATACTGCTGTCTGCTGACAGAAAATACCCTAGTAGGAAAATAAGTTAGGTGAGCAGGAACCACCTAGAGAAGTCAGAAAACTCTGACTCCAAACCGATGTTGCACGTAGATTCCAGGGTCTCGAAGAAACAAATGGTGTAGGAACCTATTGTCGGGCACCAGTTACTATGGAACGTCATGTCTCAGCTTTATGTCACTGCCTTGCGATTTATACTTGCAGGCCAAAGACTCAAAGAGTGACCAACAAATTCATCGTCCTAAACTGACCGACATCAGTAAATTGGTTACAGCTTTCGCTCCAACATAATATCAAATGGAGCTGGTTCAAAGCTAGCCATTGACCCAACGAAAGGTATAAGTAAGCAGACTGCAATTGCACGATGCTATGTAAAAGGCGAGTAAATCCGCATATGGCGTGTAGAAAAGTCCCGCTCATAAGCACCGAATTTCCACGGGCTGCTTACGACTCGTTGAGACACGTCGTTCTGCTCCGGGGAACTGCAAGTTTGACGATAAAAGATTGTTACGTAATCAACTAGTGCACTACCGTTTGCGTCCAAATTATTGGCTCTTAGTATGTTTCATAAATTATTCAGATCTGATTCGAGAGATGCAAGCCGGCTCTTTTCCTGGACGATGATGCATTAATTCTATCCTTACTCTCCACCGAAAAGTTTATGTATCTCAATAACTACGTGCTGGTGGTGGCAGATAAAGTGAAAACAATCCATGTACAGTGAAAAGTAGAGCAACTTAGGCCAATCTGGGTCATATTTGATGCCGGTGAAAGAAGTTTTGCCCTATGTTTGAGAAACCTGGCTGCTCCGAGTTGAGAACTCATTGTGCCTGAGCACCGTTGTCTTCGAAGGATTGCAACTAGTGACAACACCGTTTTAGTGACGAAGAGGTTCGACACCGTGTTTTAACACAGCAACGATATATCAAAATCCAAATCTTGAAACACCAGGTGGCCCGTAATGTCGTTCCAGTGAATTCCACATTATAGAATATTTGCCAACACTGGGACTGGTCGCAAAAAGCAGAGATGTGATTAGGATATTTCATGGTACGAAATAAAGCTGTACACGAATGGCACCTGTTGGCTCTTCACGACTGCCTGTCTAGGGTTCTAGAGATGGTGCAACTCAGTGGCTTGAGACACAATCAGACATGGCTCAGAATATAAGCCAGTGGCAGTACTTTATTTTAAACTTTTCATATGAGCGATTAAATATAATAGCATATCTAGTAGTTTGTTCTAAACATCTATTTTAAGTCTACTGATTAAAGCACGCAAGACGTCTTTTTAGTCACACTGCTCTGCATTGATCGCTACCGATAAGAAGTGTCGAAGGAGAATGAATTCGTTTTGTTCTGTTTATTACGTTGTTGATACTTCGCTAAGATTCATTAAGTTGTACTGAAGTAAATCACTAACTAGTAAGTTTCATTTGATACATTTATAAATAATCAGAAAGGAAGATGGATTTGGTGTACAAACGGTATCATCAGGATGCAGGAAGCGGTCTAAAAAAGAAGATAATCATATAAACAGATGGCATCAGTAGCAAGATGATCATAAATAACAATAAAGTTGATTGATTACATTATTCTAACTAAGTGTCAATTGATCAGATAAACTTTTTATTTTGCGTTATTCTAGGATTTTTTTCTACCCGGTTGATGAACTTCTAAGAATGATCGTAGACGTTTAAGGACACGAACTTGGCAGATAGAATCATCCCATCAAATCAGTATTAGTAGTGTGCATCCCAGCTACGAGAAAATGAAGTGCTAGAATGAAAATTAACTTTTAACATGTATATTTATGGAAAGTTACAAATATTTACAAGATTAAGCATTAGCACCTGGAAGAACATATACTGCACTCAAAATATAACTGTTAGAACAAAACGAAACAAATGAATGCCCGAAAATATAAATTTGTTTTAAAAGTATTCACTTTTACCATAAACGGAATTTTGTGAATTAATGTTTCATTTGACGGATTTATTATTGCACGAATTGGAAACCAGGTCAAAATATGTCTGGAAGTTGAAATATGGACATCAAGGATGATCAGTCCAAGTGAAAAAGAATCATATTCTTGACATGTTTAGATACATCAGATACTTGGGACAGAAGCATACTTTTAAGTTACTTTTTTTTCAAGTACACTTTGAACGCGGTTGGTCCCAACGTCATCTTCTCCATCATTGATTTCATAAACCCGATGAGGCTCTCCTGGTTTCAAAAGTCGCCCGATATGATCATAACGCTCTGTAGTGAAAGACAAGAATAATATTTATTTTCCCTGTAAGGTGTTTGAGCATAGTGATACAAATATTTCTATGCACCATAAATTATACACAGACAACAGGTTTAGGCTAGGATTTATACATACTTGACAACAATGTCAGTCGAGTAAACTATTACGCATGGACCAAACACTAGTTTTTATCAACATGAGTAAACCAAATTGATGTCCTTAATATTTTTTACATGCTAAGTTATCAGAAAGTCAGTCAGTTACAACGCAAAACTTCGTACGTACGTATGTACATCACTTCAAGTTGCCATAACACATTAGCACAGAGATGCAATTTCCAATTTCAATCCTATAGTAGTCGATGTAGAAAAAGTATTAGCAGTAATCGGAGAGATTAAGGCTCCAGGATATTATGCAAGAAGTAGAATCTAGAGAAATAAACTTAAAAGAAAAAGACAGAAGTGATGGCGAATTCAGAATTTAACAAAACGCAAAGAATGAATGCACCTGCTCCATTGCAAACGATTCTGAGCCAAGTCATTCAAAGTCTAACCATCGGTTACTATCATCTCGCGGACCCCAACCAGGTAGCCGACACCTACCAATCCAGTTGTCAGTGACTTCATGGATTTGTTCCATGTTTTGGTTTAACAGTCCCTAGCTTTCGTCCAACCTATTCCTACATCGCAAAACATAGCTCGACAATCAGGGATTGAGGCCAGTCGGATGGGATTATGCATAGTTCACAAATTCTACCTAACATCACAGTCAATCTAAATGCCAAAACTGGTCCACCATCCTTAAGAATCTCAGAGGTCAGTCTATCAGGACAAGCTGCTATCCATCGCTTTAAATTTCCCATAGTTTTATCAACATCCAAAAGAGTCGGAGGACTTACATCGATTAGCCATTAAAGTAAAATGGAGGTGGTTAGTAAACCTAGGATCCACCTAGTTGTCTTTCCTTTTCACCTAGTCTACCTACTTGGAAATTAAAGTCACCAGTCATTGATACTACATCAGAGCGCCGAACCGTTTAAAGAAGATTAGACAGGTTTCTGTAAAACTCATCTTTCATCTCGTTTGAGCTGCGGTCAGTGGGAGCGAAGGCAGAGACCACAGAGGCAATGGCGAGTTTCCTTATCTTTACGAGTCCTTACTGTTCCGTTTAGTCGGACAGCGCATAAGCAACTGTTTACCGGAATCCAGTCTAAGAGAGCCAGTTCTGCCCTACGACTTGATACTAGACCTGCACCAGAGAGGCCACGGTAAGCAGCAGCAGGGTTTCCAGTAACACGAACAGTAAATTGAGCTGCTTCTTTATTTTGACAAGGAAATCAAATTAATGATTTTACTAGGATCCTGTATGCGCGTTTCCGAGACGCATCATACATCGATGGCGCGAGATATTAAAGTACTAGCTAAGGAAACCTGTTGTCCTATGTGTCACAATTTTCGGACATTAAAAGCTACAACATATAGATTAATACTGGATTCAAGCGACCAGGAATAACGTTTCTGGAACTCAAATCGTTTGCATTAGCGGTGCAGGGTGATAAAGGAATATGAGAAAGGTGAGTCGTGGAGATAAGAGAGATGTTGGGGTGTGTAGGAAGGATTTGATTGTGACCAGTTTGGTCTCGTGTGTTGTTACGGGTATGAGGGTGGATGTCACTTCCGGGTTGCCTACACCGTGGAAGAGTGCTTTTTGAGGAACTTGAAAATGAAGTTGGACTAGTGTTGGTCTTAACGACCTGAGAGCGTGATCTCAGAGCCAAAGGGACAACTGCTCGACGCAGGCCGCACGAGGCGTTTTTATCAGTTTTAAATGGGACAGAAATCCATGAGATAAGTGATGTATGGTAGTTTTAGAGTCGACCATTTTTACCCTTCCCTTCTTTGTGAGAAGGTAGCATCGCCGTAGATGCTGGTTGCCCGAAAGAAACACTTTACTGCTGTCACACCCCTCTACAGTCAGCAGTACAACTTCACTCTCACACCTTGAGTAGCTGCTTTTAGTTTCATCGTTCTCCAGTCGACCTGCCTGGAATGGTGGGACCTACAGGAACATATATCCCAGGTTGGGTCATCACGATAAGCAAGCCCGACCACCAAGTCAAGATAGCAGCCACGGTAGGGTGCTCAGCTATAGCTTGTGTTTATTATTAATGACAATAAAAAATTAAGTTTAAGTAATGGAATTAACAAAGTCTAAATACGGCGATGCTAGTTTGGATATTGTAAGCATTCTATACATCATGCTTAACATAACTACAGCATGTCGAGTGCACTGAGTGATCAAAGGTGAATTTAGACGCAGCCAGTCAGTTTTAACGCAGAATTTGGCCTGTACGTGCATCAATTCAAGTCATACCATAATAGCACAGAGATGAAATTGTTAGTTCAAATCCCATAGTAGTACAGATATTAGAAAAAGAAAAGAGTGGAAAAGATTAGGGTTCGAAGATGTTATTTAAGGAGTATAATCCAGTGAAATAAATTTGAGAACAGAAAAGAATTCATGTGGGAATCAAAAGATTAGAATTTCAGGGAAGACAATGAGTGGATGCATCTGAGCGATTTGTCCATATCATTCAGTCAAGTATTCAAGGAAGTACTACCGGCCGAAGGCTTGAAGTTTTATCAAGTCGGCCGCAGAACACTGGTGTGTGTAACTAGTAACAGCTGATCACTGACGAGCCAGTGCATATTCAGTGAACAAACGAAAAGTACCATTACGTTATGGTGGGATACTGTCTTGAGTCATTAGGAACAAGACAGTTGAAACGACGAAACTATCTTGCCAGCAGCTTTGCAGCATCATTGTCGTTGTTAGTTGAGCCACTAGGATTTAGAACCTGGGGAACTCCGATTTGAGATTGTCGAAGAGAAGTTGCGTGACGTAGCAAGCCTTTCAGATTGAAAACAAATATATCAATTGGTCTGGTTTCATATTGACGCTTATCTTTTTATAGAACCTCGGTACATTAGTCCCTTCCTTTTTTGGATTGTTTCTATATGCTGTTATTAGTTTGTCTGTATTCTTCGCAATAGGAACTTTCAAGTCTTAGCATTCAGAGTAAGACTCTTTGTAACTGTGGGTTACTTGTAGCATTTTTTGACTGTTTGTGAGACAGACTGACTTGCATCACGTGTGTGCAGTAAGAAATTCCAGTGTATCAACGTCAAGTTGAGGGTGAGCTTCACAGTTCAACTGCAATATACTGTTACAGCTAACACACCCAATCGTTTGAAATTCCAACACCTGCTGTTATTCGAATGTTTTAGCTCAGTTTCGCTAACAAAATCAAAGGCTGTGAAAGAGTGGTTTTTCCCAGTTACAAGATTGAGTTATCAGTTGGGAATTTCGCGTTCGTGAGGATACAGTTCAGGCGTGATAGAACCTTTCTTTACCGAGCTGGTAACCACATATCTTCAAAAAATCCCTACTCTTTAACGAGATTGAAGAACTGAGCCTCAGGAGGGTTATCGCTCACTTTGTGCATGTGTTCACAGAAAGTGACTTTAGGCAGTCAGTTACAACTTAGAACTCTTTACGTAAGTATATCAGTTCAGGTTGACAAGCCACATTAGCACAGAGACGCAATTGTCAGTAGTGGAAGAGATAGTAGAAGTATTACTGGTAATGCAGAAGATTAGGGAGATTGAATTATCTTAAAATTAAGCTTTAAGTAAACAATACTGCCTTGTATTGGATAGTCATCAGGCTTTATCTAACATACAATAAAACTTACATGAAAATGTTATACTAATCAAGGCAATTTATAAATCAACCATCACAATCAAATAAATGACATAATAGGTAAAAGTACAAGTTCATAGTAGAAAGACAGGTCTACTAGTGGTCAGAATAATAGAATAACAAAAGCTTTGGTCAAGGGTTCAACACTGAAAGTAATAGGTCAAACTTGGAAAAACAGATTTGAAAGAATATTCAAAAACATTACTACTATATAATAAGATGTGTAAATAATTAAGCAGTGAAGAATATATGTGGAAAGAGGTGATAAAAAAACCAATGAAGGATGTAAAACTAATAATAGGACAGTCGTCTATCAAGTTATTTCCTGGTAAGGAATTGAGTTATGTTAAATTAGTCTCATTATAAGTGGGTGAATTCTTTATCTAACTTAAATACTCAGCTTTAACATTATGATATCCCATGTAACATAAAGTTCTTTCTATTTGTCAACAATTTTCTCGTATGACTTTACTTCCAACGGAGAATCTTCCAAACACCCCAGTAGCCGAATATACACCACTAAAACTGTTGCACATAATTGAAACGCATCCATAATACCATCAGTTGGTACCCGAAGTGATCATCTGGAGATAGGGTTCGGTAACGTATGTAGCAGAAGATGCGAGGAACACAGATCAAACATCAAAACTATCTCAATTTATCTCTGACTAGATCGCATCTTTTATACAACGGCTAGCCTACAGACAAGTCAAGAGCGGCAAAGCGGTGGGACCAGACAACATACCAGCAAAGGCAATTAAACCATAACTGCAAAAATACTCCACATTCTCTTCAGCAAGACAGTATGAACAGGATGTGTGGATCCTTCGTGGGGTCACCTCTTGAACTTATCACACTGCATGCCAAAGGTAACTGGAGAATGTCATCCAAATTCTTAAAATGTGCTTTTGGTGAACATAATGAGATATTAGTTATTTACTAAGTTGAAAAAAATTAAATATCAAATGCTAACAGTGAATGCACTTTAGTTATGATAAAACCAGCCTTCTAAAGTAAGGGCATAGCAGTTGGGGCAAAACTACAGTTGACTATAACCTAGAACGAAGCCTAAAGTGAAAAATAAACTGTGGGAAGTTAGTTTCAAGGCAAAACCCTTAGATAAAAAACCGACACTCTCACTACGTAAGAAAATGTTGGTAAATGCAAATCTTGTTAACACATTTCCTGTTTGTAAAGCGTAGGTATAATTTCTAAACAAAGTAGACCTACCGGAAAACTGCAGTTCCCATTCCCTCAAGGTTTGCATTTGATCAGCAGTAAGATCAGTAAGATCGTCATAGTCATCTTTTGTTTCGAGGTTGAAGCATGCTAATGCTCTTGATGCATCTTTACCGGCAAAAGCAGCATACGGTGCACCTGAAACAATATGAACTGAATCGTCAGCTTACCCTTGCCATAAAACCCCTGTCCTTTGTTTGTGACGTCGAATATCTTTCCATTAACCGCTATCAATATTCTCTTATGTTCGCCAGTGCCATCAAAACTCTGCAGTTCTTCTAAGGTAAAATCACGTTTACCCATTTTTGGGACTTCACATTTCTGAGAACTTTTCCTTCTCAACAGTGGCCTTAGACTTAAATAAACAAGTAGAATACATATAAGGAACAGTGTTATGTTAAGAGGGCATTTGATTGCATCTACTACAGCCACAACATAACTCCCTTGCTTCGAGCCGTCTTGTCCCATTGTAGTGCTGATTTTTGAAACGTCCAATATCCAATTTCCAATATCTTTTTCACGAGCTAGTGAAAACCAATTTGATTCCTTCGCGCTCGATTCTTGTTCTTTCGGTAAGGTTCCAGGTGTTCGGCAATGTCCAATGGATGGAGGTCTAGCCACTCGATTGTCTAATTATAGTCAGTTGGCAGGTGGTTGTGAGTTTGTATGTCTCGGGATTTGAATGAAAACGTTTGTTTCAGGGAAGTAGGGTTTCTGGATATCAGCAGCCGCCACATTACCAGACCGGAGATCAGTTAGTTGCAATGTGGAGAGTAATAAGGGCAATAAGGATAAAATTCTAATGCTAATATGAATAAAATTTCAGAACTGAGTAATATGTAGATGAATTTAGTTTATTAATTGGTAGTGAACATTGTGAGGGAGGACCGAAATGTAAGCAGGGGAGAGGAATCAGAGATAATAGGCGAGATAGATTAATTGAGTGATCTGAGGATACCGTGCTTGATACCGTGCTTCCCTCCAGATGTTGACGTTTTCATAATCCGACCGATGACCAGGAGAAAGAGAAAGGGTGAGAGTAAGCAACCTTGCCTCACACCGGTCTTCACCTCAAAAGAGTCTGTTAGCAGTCCTTCGTGCACGATTTTGCAGTTGAATCCATCATAAGAGTTCCGTATGATGCTAACTATTTTCTCAGGCACCCCGTAGTGTCGAAGAAGCCTCCACAGTGTTTTCCTATCCACGCTATCGAATGCTTTCTCGTAGTCGATGAAGTTGATGTAGAGTGGTGAGTTCCATTCAATTGATTGTTCCACAATGATCCGTAATGTAGCAATTTGGTCACCACATGATCGATGCTTACGAAATCCGTCCTGTTGATCTCGAAGTTGGGCGTCTACGAAGTCCTTCATTCTGTTTAACAATAAGCTGTTGAAGACTTTGCCTGGTATTGAAAGAAGAGTGATGCCTCTGTAGTTCTCACACTTGCTGAGATCGCCTTTCTTTGGTATTTTGATCAGGTATCCTTTCCAATCTGATGGTACTTGTTCCTCATCCCAAATCTTCTTGAAGAGGATGTGAAATATTTTTGCAGTTGCTTCTACATCTGCTTTCATTGCCTCTGCTGGAATGTTGTCTGGTCCTGCTACTTTGTCGTTCTTGATTCGTCTGATGGCCATACTGATCTCCTCAATCGTAGGTGCGCCAATACTAATTGGGAGGTCCGTGGATGCTGCTTTAATGTTGGGTGGGTTCAATGGAGCTGGTCGATTCAGGAGTTCCTTAAAGTGCTCTACCCACCTATTTCTCTGTTCTTCAGTGTTGCTGATTACTTTGCCTTCCTTGCTTTTCACTGGTCGTTCTGGTTTACGATAGTTTCCGGTTAGCTTCTTTGTTGTTTCGAAAATTGTCTCAAGTTTCCGTCTCTTGCAGCCTTTTCCGCCGTCCTTGCTAGATCTTCCACATATTTTCGTTTGTCAGCTCTGACGCTCATCTTCACTTCCCTGTTTGCTTCTGTGTATGCAGCTTGTGCTGTAACTTTCTCCGCTCTTGTTCGGCTGACATTCACTGCTGCCTTCTTGTTCCTCCTTTCTTCAATTTTTGCGAGAGTATCAACAGAGATCCATTCCTTGTGATGCTGCTTCTTGCGACCAAGGACCTCCTGACATGTTGAAGTGATTGCCTCCTTAATCCCTTTCCAATTGTTCTCCAATGTTGTGTCCTCTCCATTGTGTAGATCCTGTAAGGCCTGGAACCTATTGGTGAGGGCTATCCTGAATTCGTTGAGCTCTACAGTATCCCGAAGAAAGGCCGTATTAAACTTGTGTGATGTTGTCTGTCCCGTTGTCCAGTGCTTCTTTAGTTTCAGTTTCATTTTGGCGATCAGCAAGTACTAATCTGAGGGTATGTCAACTCCTCTCTTGATTCTCACATCCTCCATAGTCCTTCTGAACTTTTTATTGATACCGATATGGTCGGTTTGGTTCTGAGCAGTGTGATCCGGTGAAATCCATGTAGCTTTGTGTCTGAGTTTGTGCTGGAATATTGTGCCACCGATGACCAGTTTGTTGAAGGCACATAGGTTTGCAGATCTCTCACCATTTTCGTTCCTTTCTCCCAGTCCATGTCGTCCCATAATGTCTTCATATCCAGTGTTGTCCATTCCAACCTTGTCATTCAGGTCTCCCATAAGAATCGTCAAATCCTTTGGTGAACATTTATCGACGATTGACTGAAGCGTTTCGCAGAATTGATCTTTGACGTCGTCATTGTAGTCATTGGTAGGTGCATAACATTGGATGACATTCATTGTAATGTCGTGTTTCTTTGTCTTGAAGGATGCTTTAATGATCCTGGGTCCATGAGATTCCCATCCTATTAGTGCCTTCTGTGCTTGTTTAGACAGCATCAGTGCAACTTCTTGTGTATGTGAAGCAGTTTCCTCTTCATGACCAGAGTATAACAGCAGTTCCCCTGAAGCTAGTCTCAGTTGTCCTACTTGTGTCCAATGCGTTTCACTGATACCGAGCACCTCGAGGTTGTATCTTTTCATTTCTGCCGCAACTTGAAATAGTCTTCCAGTCTCCCACAATGTACGAACGTTCCATGTACCTAAAAAAATGGTTGCTCTGGTTGTTAGAAGAGGCATCAGCCCCGTGACTTCCGAGGGAACTCGGCTTTCATCACGCGACATCATAATTCTTCCTCCAACTCCCAGGGCAGAGTTAAAATGGTTTGAATTATTTTTGCTGGTTGGCGTTTTTTTGGCAAGTTAGTTTTTGACGGAATGGGGTGGCCAACCACATGTCCACCCTCCTCCTTTACCCGGGCTTGGGACCGGCATTAGCCCCGAAGGTTCTACTGGCGGAGCTAAGTGTGGGCGCGCGTACGTCTTAAACAAGGTTAAAAATAATTTCGGGGTTATAGCACCAAGCTGTGTTCGCATAAAGTGAAGAGTCTGATTTGCCTTGACTGCATCCCCTACATAGTTCGGACTCGTGTGGAGGCTTTCTGTGGTTATTAAGCCAAGATCGCGCTCTGAGGAGGCATTAGGGAGCGGACTTCCATTGAGATTATAGGTCGTTTACGTCATATGAGGCAGGAAGTGCATGACGTGGCACTTCGTTTGGTTGAGTTTTAAACCGTTTTTCACTGCCCATTTCTCAATAGATGTAAGGTCTTTTTGAAGCTCAGCCGAATCCTCTTCGCTTCTGATGGACCTCCAGATCTTCGCATCGTCTGCGTAGATCAATGCCGGTGAGCTGACTGCGCCCAACAGGTCGTTAATTAATATCAGGAAGAGAAGTGGGTCTAGGATGGTCCTCAGTGAAACTCCCGATGTGGATACTCGCCAACTCGCGTGCACTCTGTTTACCTTGGTGAAAAACTTTCTATACTCATATAGGCGCCTGGTTTAACTGATCAGCAAAAATGGTGCTGAAGATCTCAGCCATCTCTAAGTTGATGAGGTCTTCCCCGTCTGGTCCTTTTAGAGAACACAACCCTTGATTAGTTTGTTTTCTTTTCGACATGAACCTAAACAGATTTTTCCGGTTTGCCTCTATTTTGGTGGCTAGCTTCGTCTGATGTTGTCTCCTGTCGTTTCGAACTTTGGTATTGCATCTCTTTCTCAATGCCATGTAAGAACTGCGATCGGAATTCTTCAAGGAGACCTCTCATTTGTGCCAGGCTCTCCTCTTCGCCTGCAGCAAGCGTTCAGTGCCGCGCCTAACCCAGGTTCTCCAGTTCCCGCGTTTTTGGTGTGACTGAGATTCATTGTCTACGACGTCGGCCATAATTCTAACGACAAACTTTGATGTTTCATTTTTAGTTAGAATGAATAAACTCCAGTAGTCTTGTGTTAGTTTTGACAATGTTGGTCTTTCAGTTGATCTATCTTTCATTTGAATGAGCCCACAGATCGAGCTTCAATCATATTTTGAGGCAACGTGTTTCATCAGCTAACAGTTCAATGGGAAAATAATAATAATAATAATAATAATAATAATAATAATAATAATAATTTATTCTCAAATAACAAACATAGATAGACAGCTATATAATTTGTCCTTGGCTGTTGAATGATTTTTAGAGTATCCTCGCAAGAGAAATGAGGGCATTTCAGAAGCAAAATTATCACCAAGTAATTTAAAAACTGATTATCACCTTAGACCCACCATATGATAAGGGCAACAAGTTTAATTTAGCCAGTCTCTCTTCACACAGAAGCTTCAAGATTCCAGGAATCAGTTTAGTCGCGGTGTCTTGGACATTTCATGACAACCCGCTGTCTTTTTACTGGACAGGGGCTTCGTGCCTGTATCGAATGCTTCAACATGGCTAGAGGCTCATCGTATGGACCACAAGGAGGAGCAAGAAGGCAGCAATCAACATCAGCAGAACAAGAGCAGAGAGAGTCAAGGCACAAGCTGAATACACAGAAGAAAACAGGCAAGGGAAGAAAAGCTTCGAAGAAGACGAACTTAAATATGTGGATGATCTAGCAATCACGGTGGAAAAGTCTGCAAGAGAGGGAAACTCATACAGTTTCACGATACAACGAAGAAACTCGCTGGAAACTATCTCAAACCAGAGCGACCAGTGAAAGGAAATGAGGGTAAATTAGTCACCAGTACTGAAGAAAAGCAAAAGTGATGATTACCAGGCTAAATCTTCAGTAGGATGTTGCTTAACAGAATGAAGGACTCCGTAGACGCTCAACATCGAGATCAACAAGCTGGACTGCGTGATGATCTTTCGTGTACCAACCGAATCGCAACATTACGGATCGTTGTGGAACAATCAGTTGAATGGAATTCGCCACTCTACATCAAATTCGTTGACTACGAGAAAGCTTTTGATAGCTAGGACAGGATGACATTATGTAAACTTTTTTGATACTACGGTGTATCGAAAAAGTTATTCAACACCATACGGAATTCTTGTGATGGATTAAACTGCAAAGTCATGCACGGAGGACAGCACACAAACTCGCTCGAAGTAAAGGT